CTAATACTTTATAACTCTTTATAAATTACTTGTCGCTAATAAACTACATAGCAGAGAACTGCTACTTAGCCAATAATCGCTTCAGTCAGCACATCAGAACCGACTGTGTTGGTCTTTACATCTTAAAAAGTTAACGTCTATTTTGATGTGTGAAATGCGTTGTAAAATACCTCTAATGTAGTATTCGCATTTTCAACATATGTGTTATGTTTCGGACCCTCATGTTATAGTGGAATAGAAACGGCTCATTACTACGTTTTACAGGCAGCCGTAGAAATTCGTTAATTTTCGGGATCCACAAATAGATATTTTATCCGTGGGAACTCTAATACGTAAAATGTGAAGTGCTGAATTTACAGACGTTATTCTCAGCAAATAACTGAAAAGGGGTCTTAGTTATCCGCCATATATCACGAAAATACTACCACGAAAGTAGTATTAAATGCGCACACTAAAAATCTGTACGACAATATGTCACCATTAAACTGCAGCTACAATGTATTATATCAGACACTATAAAGCGTTTATAAGCATTCCTCCCCCTTGTGATCGGCATTTTAGACTTAAAATAATCGCAAGTAAAAACCAAACAGGTTACGATAGATCAAACAATTCATCTACCGTAGTATATGCAAAACGGTAATGTAATTTAATAAAAAATACATAACTGGGATCAAGAATACAGTAGCCAACTCATAAGGAGTTGTTACCGAATTTCTTTTGAACATGTGGTAAGCAATATGTATTTTTTCTACTGAATTTCCACACTTAGAAATTTGGATGTTATATCCTTACGTAAGCTTAATGAAGGATTTTGTATATACCCCCTTGAAAAGGGGGCTTTATTTTACCCTTTTTTGAATTGTTAGTGATAGATTTTATATGTATATTATTCGATATGAAAATATAGTATTGGTTTACGATAAAACGTCTTCTTATATATAATATGAATATTTAATTATATAGCACATTATTTATTACGTTTACAGTATACTATTATACGTAACATATAACATTTATGTTAGATTTGAAGTTTATTAATATACAAGTAATATGAATACATTCAATTCTCGAACAACTTAGAACCCGACGTGCAGTTAACGGTGCATTTCGGGTTATTAAGTTACAAGCTGTACGCATTTTGTCTGAGGAAAATTGTATATTTCTTTATGCTGTTGAGGCATCATAAGATTACTCATGAACATTGTAACGGCCGAAGACACTTGATCACACCTCCTCCCTCCTGGGCTTACGCTAAAGTGTTTTTTTTCGCAATGCACTTAAAGAACCCGTTCAATTTCACTGCCAATTACATCATCGATCCTTAGAGTAAATAAGACTCGGCCGTTTATTTCGAGGTTCAATTACTATTGGCCGTCTACTGCCCATTTATCTATGTTCTCTTAATGTAAACCAAATGAGTCTGTGGTGGTTCGTCGACGGAAACTATTTGGTACGCAGGCGTTCTAAATCCATTTTCTACTGTAACGAACCCCAATATGGTATGCGTCAAATTTCCCATACCCAAACCCGAATAAGCACAATACTATTTAATAGGGAAGATTTTGGGACTATTTAGCTCGGAACGGAAGACGAGTTCGAACATCTGGAGAGAGGAAGATAGAGCAAACCTTTAAAACGTCAATCACCTGCTAGCACAATCCCCGGATTCCCCCGTGCTCTAGACGGGGTAATACGGGGAAGTCCGAGGATGAAAAAATTTGATTATCGAATTACATCTTATAAGCCAATTTTTCAAAATCTAACTTTTTATCAATAAATTATTAACCACATTATCCTCTAACAAAATAATCAACTT